ATATATATATATATATATATATATATATATATATATATCCTTAGCTCAATTCATAAGAAATATTATTAGTCATACTTTAATATATTTTTTCTCCTCTAATTTATTTTAGGTGTTAGGAATTCAAGACAATAAAACAGTTATGACCACCATATTCAAGCAAAGAGCATAACAAAAAATTGTCTCTAATGTAAGTATATATTTTTTCTCCTCTAAGTTATATACTTACATTGTCATATTAGAAAATTTAGTATATAATTTTTGCAATCATGTGCTTAGTACTTTGACGTTTCATTCATAACTTATTTTATATCTACTTAATTTTAAATTATCAGAAATTAATTTGTAACTCAAATTAAACTTTTATGTAAACAAAGTTAAGTTTTTTTTTTTATAAAAAAATCTACTCACAAATAAATAAATCAAACTTGCATCATAGTTTTAGTACATGTTTAGTTCTACATTTATAATTTACGTTTAAGTAATAATTACATTAAAAATGATAAAAAAAAATTAATTATTATTTTTACTATAAACATCTAAGTGAAACTGATGCGAATTTAAACATATTATTAACCAAGTCAACCCAAAAAGATAAAGAAAAAGGTGTAAATTATAATATTTTATGTATTAAAAAATAGTTTTTTTAACTTTAAATTAATTTTATTCGTTCTTTTCTTTTTTATCAATTAAAGTTTATTTTTTTATTCTCATTTTCTTTCCTTTTAATTATTATTTTTTTCTTCTTATTTTCCTTACCTTATGATAGACAGAGGGTAGGTGACTAAGTGTACGACTGTATACATATTGCAGTAAACAAGGGTCCTTTTCTTCCTTTATCCACGTGATATGCTGTTTAGCTATTATGAGAAACCAACGACTCCTCGTTTTTTTCACCATTCCGTCCTTCTCTCATTCTTTATTTACAGAAGTACCCTCCTTCCAAATTCACATGGACGTTTTTGCCCTTTTCGATTAATTTCCTATTAAAATTCGTATTTCTTTAATCCCATTTTTAAATGGATATTTTTCTTAAAAATCATATTTCAATTTTACTTTATTTTTTAAAATTTTTTAAAAAAATTCAAAATTTATTTTTATATTTTTAATGTTAAAATTCATCTTTTATTGTTCATGTACCCTTCTTTAATTATTTCCTGCATGCATCTATTTTTAAACTCTTTTTTTTTTTTTTTTAGTTTTTTCTTGTCGCATTATACTTCTTATCATATTTATTTATAAAAAAACAAAAACAAAACTTGTCCCTATTCCCACTCCAATCTTTCTATAAATTGACCCACCTAAATGCAAGGTTCTCCACACCAAAGCATAAGAAGTAAAGGATAGATACCAAGTCATAGTCTTAGAGAGAGAGATGGAGTTGAAGGCATTGATGAAGGTAGGTTTGTTGCTGTTCCTCATGGGGTTCACAGCAACTACTGTGGACGCTAGCTTCGATCCAAGTTCATTCATCTCTGAGGTTCTCCCTAACGGTGATGGGAACTACTACATGAAGTCGACAACAACAGCATGCTGTGATAGGTGCGTGTGCACAAGATCAATTCCTCCCAAGTGCCAATGCAAAGATGTTGGTGAAAGCTGCCACTCAGCTTGCAAGTCGTGCCTTTGCACGCGCTCCATTCCTCCCATCTGTCGTTGCATGGATACCACCTACTTTTGCTATGTCAAGTGTGACTCTTCTCAAGCCATGACCCACTTGGAATGAGCACGTTTCTGCATGGAGATGTGAGACAAAGCCACTTAGGCTTTGTTTTCGTGTATGTATGCATGCATGAGTAAATAACTGTTTGTTGAATGCCAATGACATGGCTTAGCATTTTGTTTTACTGCAAATTGCTGGTCATGCTCTCTTTCTTTTAATCTTCCTTTGCTTTTCGCTTTTCTTTACCTTTGAAATAAGCTACTTCTCCAATTATATAATCATGCACTACGCTTTAAAAGGAGCTAAATATAAATATATATATATTTAACTTACAGTTATATCTATGTTTATAATCTATATTTATAAACCGGTTGTAGTATTATAGTTACAATAAATTAACTAGTCATATTTATTATTAATGTTTTTACAATTATATATTTTTAAAATTTGAGTGATTCCTTTTGACTGTCTAGTTTTTTCAAACATTTACCATATTGTGAAAAGAGTACAATTTTGTGATGATATAATGTACTACGAAAAGACTTGAGAAGGTAATGATGGAAATAGAACTTGTTGTGAGTGGAGCTAGCATTGATTGCTTTGGGTGGTTCAGGTATGGTTGGGTTACAGAGAATGAAATGGTGGTTTAGGATTGAGAATAATGAAATAGTTTATACCTGAGTAAATAGTGATTGTAAGTTAGGTTATTACAGTAATACATTTTAGTTTTTGTATTTTGTTAAATTAATGAATTTGATAAAAAAATAAAAATAAAAAAAAGTAACAAAGCAATGAAGCTTGCAGGATCAATCATCCTCTTCAGTCTTCACGTTCTTAAAGAAACAAATATAATGAATCTCACCATCGATGTGAGGTGGCGTCTTCCGTCGAAAGATATTGTGTTTATAATTTTTATGAGTATTTACAAAAAAGTTGTATAAATTCATACACATGAATTTAAATATTTACATAATAAATAATTATATATTTTAAGAATGCAGGGATTAATGTTTTATTTCATAGGTGTGAAAAAGAAAAATGGAAATAAAGTGAATAGTGAGCCTTGAGGGTGGAAGGGTGAAAGGTGAAAAGCTGAATGGTTCAGAAATGAGGTTCTACTGAAACCTTAGTACGGACGTGTTTCAACTTTCACGTGGGACACGAGGGATTAGATTACCTTCCAACCCCATGCCTCTCAACAATATTTTAATGCTTTCAAATAACAAAATACAGAAGAAACTGAATCATTAATTAATTATTAAGGAATTTAAAAATATTTTTATTTGAAAAAAAATATTTAAGTGAATTTATGAAAAAATTCTATCAACATTCTTTTGGTTTAATTTTACTTTTTTAAAAGTGGATTTATATGAAAATTTTTGTCATGAATAAGATAACCTTTACATTATTGTCTAATTAATAAAGAGTAAAATGTAATTATTTAAATAAATATTTTAAAAAAAATTTAACTATGTAAAATATATTTTTAAAATATCAAATTATCTTTATTTTTTTTATCTAATTTTACTTGATTAAATAATTACAAAATTTACACTATTTTCTTATTAAATTATTCTTTTCTATTTCTTTCTATTGTTCTCCCTCTACTAAATAAAATATTAGAGGGAAGAAGGCTGAATTCGAGTGAAATTATAAAAAGACAGTTGTGCATGATAAAGGAGGA